CACTCCTCTGTGCCTCAGTTTTCTTACTAGCTAAACAGAAATGACATCTTCCTTTTGGGACATGAATATTTCCCTCCTTTAACCTCTCCTGGTTTATGGGATCAGCATGAAATAGCAGTTGCTTCCCCTACCTTCTCTGTTGTTAAGTTAATCCTCTGCCATGGAAGAGAGAAGTAAGATGGAACTTTGAGAAAGAAGATTTTACCATGACTTTTGCCATGTCACCATTGAGCAACCCCAAATTACCATATCCTACCACCTCCACAGCAGATCAGGGAGGCTTTGTGTATCTTGGAGCAGCTACTATTGGACCCAGAGCTGTCTGTCTCTCCATGCTGAGTGGGCACATCCACTTCTCTTCCTGTGTGACAGCCCCCCTGACTGTTTGAAGGCAGGGATCCTATGTCATTCCCTTGTGTCATTGGAACCTATTTTTAACACCAGCTGGTTTTCTCTTCACATAGCAACAGTTCTTTGTTTTCTCTGAACTGCAAAATCAAGAGCATCCATTCCCCTAAACGCATTCTGTTCTGTGGTCTGTGCGTAAGACTAAGAGACCTCTTCTTCCTCTGTTCCCTTCTTTAGATTCCATTGCTCTGGTCTTGGCCTTTCTGCATGGGTGATAACATTGTGACAATTCTTCCCATTCCTCCACCTGAATCTTTACTGTGGTGATGTTGTTAGAATTCCCTCCAGGAAACTTGGCTGGCCCAGAGGGACCAAATCACTTCAGCTCTCTGAATTCGGCCCTAAGTGAGATCTGAGTAAGCCTTCTTGCCTTTCTGGGGCGCCAGACAGGCATTCTTGCCTTGTTCCTATGGTCATCTCAAGAGGCACCACCCACACCCAGCTTCAGGACCTCTGTTTCCCAGCCACACCCATAGTGCTCCTCACACCCCAATTCCTCTGGCCCTCCCAGCCATGTGGCTAGGGTTGAGTTTCAGTCAAGGAAGGCTATGCTTGGTGGTTTCACATGTGGCCTGAGTATTGGGGCAGGGGAAGGAGGAAGGGGATTTACCAAATAAAGTACCATTTTCTCACTAACCTGGCAGGAGGCCAAGGTTCACTCTGAGCATTTGTTTTTATTCATTTTCCAGGAGCTTCATGTGCATAGAAATATTTATTTGTAGAAAATAGTAAAAAAGTAGATGCTAGTTTGGGAGTGAGGAAGACGGGTTCTTGGGCTGGGGTCAGGAGGTCAGCTCCCCCCTTTTTTGGGTGGGGGGTCCGGTTTTGGGGCCTGAACTCTGGGCCTGGGCGCTGTCCCTCAGCTCTTCAGCTCAAGGCTAGCACTTCTGGCTTTTTTTTCTGCTTATGTGGTGCTGAGGAATCGAACCCAGGGCCTCATGCATGCAAGGCAAGCACTCTACCACTGAGGCACCTTCCCAGCCCCCATTTCAGCTTTTTAAGTTGACTCTATCCCCAAGAGTAGGCAGCTGGTCTATATCACCATGTGCAAAGCTCTTTAAATTACTTTCTCTTCCTCCCTCCCTCCTTCCTCTCTCTTCCTTCCCTCTCCTCCTATCTCCCCCCCCCTCATGAGTTTATACCCCGCGGTTGTGCTTTATTTAGCCATGTATATACACAAATATTGGGTAGCTAGAACCCAATCAGTGTTGTCTGCCAGTTCAGATAACAGGTGGGTCTCTGGGTTCTTTATAATCTTTGATCTCTGAATGTGCTGTAATGAAAAGAGAAAGCTAGCATTCATGGTCCTCTGGGGAAGCATTGCTGTCTTTTCCTGTAGGTCTGTTTTGTCAAGCCCCTTCTTCCTTCAGTTTGTGGGATTGGATGGGCAGAGAAGCTTGGAAGAAGAGCCATCGTGGACAACTCTTAACTAACCCTGTGATACATGGGAGAAACTAAATCCCAAGTGAGAAAGAACTTTTCCTTGGGTTGTCAGCTGGGACCTGAACTAATAGGGGAGGCCTTGGCCTTCTAGATCCATTATTCTTTATTCTCTGACTCTGATGGGGAAGTCCTTCCTGTGTAACCACCACAGCTAGTCATGCTGTAGGCCTAGGGAAGGCCACGGGTTTGGGTTTTGTGTTTTTAGAGAAAACTCACATGAGACACTTTGCTGAGTGCCTTAATGGTGTTCTAACTCAAGCTGGAAACCACAGGGAGAGGCTGACTCCTAGCAATCCAGAAAGGCCTGGCTCCAGATGGTCAGGTTTGAGCAGGTCTTTGAATAATACAAGTAGTAATCATTTATTGAACACCTGCTGTATGCCTCATGTTGTGCTGGGTAAACAGCTCCTGCTGTCAAGGTGGAGGCTGGGATGCAGCACACTGTTGACAGAGTAACATTGGGCCCCTTGGTCTGGGTTTTGTGAGTAAGGGTTATTTCTGAGGCCTTCCAGCCTCTTTCCCTTGTGCCTCCCAATACACCAGTTGCTGCTTTCTTGTACTTTTAAAAGTTTTTTTTTTTCTTCTGTGAGTTTGTAATTTGATTCATAATCAAAGGGGAGAAGCAATCACTGTGATCCTGCAGGGCACAGACTTAAGCATTGCATAACTACTTGGTTTAACAGATAGAGAAAGCCTCTTCTGTCATAAAAGTTGTCTCTAGGCTCAACACAATAGCTTGTACCTGTAACTCCAGCTACTTGAAAAGTGGAGATCAGAAGATCATTAGAGGCAAAAAGTTACTGAGACCTCATTTCAACAAACAAGGTGAGAAAGTTGTATCTGTGATATCAAGAGGATCAGGTTCCAAGGCTAGCCCAGGAAAAAATGCAGATCCTAACTTAGGGAGGGAGAAATAGCAAAATAATAATACAGCAAAAAAAAATCTGGGGAGGTGATATGGCTCAGGTGGTAGAGTGTCTGCCTAGCAAAGGCTCTGAATTCAAATCCCAGTAGTACAAAAAAAAAAAAGTTGTCTCCTTGGCCTCTTGTCCCTTAGTCATTGCTACCATATCTGCCTTTGCTGTTCTTCCTCCAGGAGCAGATGGTGAAATACATCTTCCATCTCAGATTTCAGAGAATTACTCCACCCCTTTACTAGCATTTCAGTTACCCTGGTCTTGCCACCCCTAGAACTATTGACTCTATAATTTCATAGGAACACCACATCTCATGATGAAGGAGCCTCATAAGCAAAACAACAATGCATTTGCAGGTTCAAGCTTTCACTTGAAGTTGTTTTCTTAATTTTGACATACTGAACCTATGTATACCTCAATATAGGAAAAGTCAAATACTCCAAATAATGAAAGACAGGAACATTTTACCATAAAAAGGTCTACAAGTGTCCAGTGTGAAAGCATTCCAAAAGGTAATGATCCAAAACACTCAAAAGGTAACTATCAGGTTACCTCAGCTCCCCCACCGTCTTTGTAAGTTTTTTCTGGGTGCTACGGACAAGTAGTTGTTGGTTCTTAATCACAAAACATCAAATTACACAGAACCACTAACCTCAAAGAAGTAATAATGCAGCTGAAGAATTGCTTAGTAAGTTTCCCTTTGTGGCCCACTCCCAGCTGACAAGGGGTCCAGATGAGGCAAGTAGATTCTTCTGCTCTGAATGGGCTGTAGACTCAAGGAAAGGAGAGCTAGATCCATGTTTGAGGATGTTTGAAACTTGGAGCACACAGTATGGGGCATGTGTAAGAAGACTCATTTTGAAAATCTTCTACAGCTAACTCATTCTCTTTTACTTGGATCCGTCAGACAACCTTTTTGTGCCTGTCCCCAGTCTTAATTCCCATGTTCTCAGAGTAATCCCATCTCACAGACCATATCCCATCCCAACTCAACCCACCACACTCCTCTAATGCCAAGGTAGAAACAACAGCCATTCTGCTTTTTACAAGACACCGATTTGTAGAGGTGTAAGTAGCTGGTTCATGCCATTTGTTAGTACAAATGATAGCACTTGGAGCAGAGTGGGTTGTTCACTGTTACGTGTGGTATTAGTGGAAGATTGGAAGCCAGGAGGTCTGGTTCCTATTTTGTGACTTGAGGAAAGGAAAAGAAAGAAGTGAGTCCTTCAGGGGTAGGTAGTAGGAGGCTGTATTCATGAAACAAAAGGAGGTGTTTGGTTTCCTGACCCTAAGGGTCATAAATTTGTCTTAGAGAAGAGCCACAACTCTTGGGGGTGGGGTGATCAGTGGTGAAATTAGTTTTGGTCATAATTGAGACCAGGGACTGGACTGGAGATGGACATCTGTAAGAATGGCACCTGGATCAGGGAATGGGCCCAGGAAGGGAACATCAAGGCCCCTGGATATGTTCCTCAGGCTAGGTGCTTAGGCCTCCCAATCTTTTGCCCTGCCTTTGTGAGCACAGAGCCAGGCACAGACATGCCGGCCACATGAACAGGTTTGTCACAGATTGTTGGAAAGAGGCCAGGTGGGGAACGCAACAGCGTCTGCTCACCCCTGGGAGGCATTTGTTGAGGCAGATGTACCAGGTGGGTGCCAGGATAGCAACATTTAACGAGAGAACTAAAAACAGTCTTCCATCGTACCCCTGCTTCTCATGAGACACCCAGGACCCTTTAGGGGCTAAATTGCATCTGTCTGTTTCTTCCTTACACTTGTCTGGGGCATTTTCCTAGTTGCTTTGTTATTTATTTATTGAATTGTGGGTATTTATTGACCTTCTGCTCTGTGCAACATGCCAGCCTCTTCGAGAGAGTACCACCATTTATAAATCACTCCACTTGCCCTCAAAGAGCTCTTCAGAGCTCTGGTGGGTGAGGTAGGGCATCAGTGTCAATAGTAGCCTCCGTGGGTTAGCCAGGCACCACCGCTGGGCAGGTACTGCAGAGGAAGTACCTTTGCTGCTTCCATCTCTTGCTATTCCTGTAGCATTCCTAAGTGGTGGTTCCCTAATTTCCTAAGTGAGGCAATAGAGGCTCCAGGTTCATCACCAGTAACATACCTGTCTTTGCGAAGGAAGGGATAGGGGCATGGGCAGACAAGAGTGGTGGTTTTATCTTCTTTGTACCTAGTTGGGGTTTGGCCACTGATTTCTACCTTCTCTCTCCACAGAGTGCAGCAGCTGCCCCGAGCCCTGTGCTTGGCAACATTCCCCCCAATGATGGGATGCCTGGAGGGCCCATCCCACCGGGTTTCTTTCAGGTATGTGAGCGCCGTGGGTCCCATACTCTTCGTGTACTTGGACTGGGGTGGACAGCCAGGCAGGCGGGAGAGGGAAAAAGCAGCACAGCTCAGTTTGCCATGGTCTAAATACAGTTTCTTTGTGCTGGTTGAGGCCCTTCCCTTCCCTTCCTTTCCCATCGCTCTCTCCACCCCTATGGAAAGCTGGGAAGGGGAGGAGAGACTGGAAGGCAGACACCTCCCGCCTGGCAGTGCCCTTCACCAGTTTGTTTTTTTCACACCAGCTCCGCAGGCACAACATGGTCTGCCAAAGAGGTGGGGGTAGCTGCTTCGAGGCCAGTGTGGAGCTTTCTTTTAACAAAAGACTTTTTCCCTTTTTTTCCTTTCCTCTTTTTAAAAAATGAGTAAACTGTTCTCGTTCCTGTTTTGTTGCTGCTGTCATTGTCATTGTTTATTTTGCCCGTCCAAACTACAAACCTAGGCATAATATTAAAACAACAACAACAACAGACTCATCCTGGCAGGTCTCAGAATCCTTTCCCTCTGATTAAGCACTGATATTTTTTCCAAGTATGGTCACAGACTGTATTCCACAACATTTGTGCCTACACTTTGTGCACCATGGGCAAGAACAGATCCCCCGTGAGTTGGGAACCTCGCCTCTTCCAGACACCTTGTTGGCCCTTTTCTAGGGTGCGTGTGAAATCAGGCTTTCCACTTTGTTGGGATTGGGTGTGGCTATCACCCATCTGTGCCTTCTTCTCCATCCCTCCTTCCCTCCTGGCAGTTTGTCCTACTTCAGCCAAATTGGGACTGGTTGATGCCATCTTGGAGAGCTGTCAGTGTGCAGGGCTGTGAAGAACTTTGTGGTGAAGCTCTTGATTGTGACATCGTTCATTCCGTCAAGCCTGTTTAGGCTGTGTTGGATAGCATGCCTTGACACTCCACACCTTCATAAGAGTGATGCTCCGAGAGGAGGATGAGGAAAGAGCTGTTGTGGAGAAAGGAACAAAGATATCCTCAGTGAAGCCAGGGAATTTGGAGCTAGACCAGTGAGGCAAAATTCAAGGAGACCTTGCTCAGTGTCATACATCTAGCAGCAAATCAGGCAGCCCTGGACAGACACTGGAGGTATCTGAGAAATGACAGGATAAGCACATCTTAGGGTATTGAAGGGGTTTTCCACCTTGCAAGATTTTACACTTTGGTTGATGTTTACTCCCAGGGGAGGAAAGTTAGGACATGTTGCTTACTAGCCAAGAAGGACCATGGTAGACTTTGGTTATTCCCTTAAAACAGAAGCAGCTGTTTGTACTTGGTATAAAGCCAAGTACAAAGCCCGGTACCAGTAACTTCTACCTGTAGTTCTCACTACTCAGGAGGCAGAAATCCAGTGGATTGCAGTTCAAAACCGCAGAAGCAGAAAAGTCCATGAGACTATGTCTCCAAAATAACTAGCAGAAAGCCAGGTTGGAACTATGGCTCAAGCATTCAAACCCCAGTAATATCAAAAGAAAAAGGCAGTGGGAAGAAAGGGGGGAAGTCAGGGATGATACTCTAGGGCATTAGGTATCTGTGTGCATTCCCAGCATTCTACCAAAGCCAGGGCTTTGTCCAAGGGGTAGAGACACGTATAGCCTCAGAATGCTTTGAGGTTTGAGATTCCAGTTCAGACTGGACCAGGTATTGCTAGGGTCTTGGCTTGGAAATTCACGGACCCAATAAAGTTAGCAACATGGCTGTTTCCCCTCGCCAGAGAGGATTAGTCTCTGTGGGGGTGGGGGGTCACCTGCACCAAAGGCAGCCGTGTAGCCACTGCAGACAGATACTCTGCATCCATCTAGTGGCTTCCCTGCCATGTTCTGTTCAGATTCACATATCCTTACTCATGAGGCCAGGCATGTCCCATATGGTGCAGGTATGGCTCCTTCACAGGCTTCTACGTGCCTGTTGCAAGCTAGTATGGTGCAAACAGCTGATAGTAGCCAGTCATGTATTTTTAAAATATGCTTTGACTTATGTTTTGGCCTGAGTCTAAGTCAAGGCATAAGTCTGCCTGAAATGTGGGCAGCTCCCTCTTCCTGCTTTGGTATATTCTCCTGTAGCTAACTAAGGCTTATTTCCAGGCATACTTCTTTGGCTCTCCCCTATAATATTTTGAGGGGGTGTTGTCAGAAATCCCAGATTGATTCCTGTCCTCACTCATCTTCAGCCATATCAAGTAAAGGCAATTGTCTTGACCTAGAGTCATCTCTGTTCTCTAGATAGAGTGGACTGTCAGAACTCGCTGGGTCATCCAGCAGGAATCTCTGTGCCCTGTCCTCTCTGCTTCTTTGGGAGGTCCTTCTCCCTTACTCTCTAGCATTATTTCCCTATCAGCCAGATGAAGTTACATGTGAAAGCCTGCCTGATCCTTTCTGGCCATGACGCTGACCACTTGGCCTGAGTGCCTGCTAAGAGGAAAGAGTGTCTTTTCTGGAAGGAGGTACTGGCAGCCCATTTCCAGAGCAGGTTGTCTCACAACAGGAATATTAGCTATTGATTGCTGGCCCTGCCCCTTGCTCATCTTCAAGTGGCCACTCTGATATTAGAAGGGAAATAGAGATGATATCAAGAGTTTTATCTGCTGCCAACAATTGCACTTCTTCCCCTCTTGGCCCCAGCCTGGGCGGCTCTGGCACAGAAGAACTTTGTACGGGGAGCCAGCCTGGATGTTTGGTCCAGTCTGTCCTAGTGACTGCCCCGTTTTCAGGTCAGATCTGTACCATTAATTGGACCTAAATTTAGGGCTTCCAGGATAGATAGGAAAGAATAGCCGTCTACCCCTATTCTAGCTCCTCAGAAAACCATACATGGAACCTATTTCCTCATGCTTCTGACATCAGGCTACAGGGCTGAAGGTTGGGCCATCCACACATTAGGCTCCATCTGTTTGCTCTTTTTTTCTTTTCTTTTCTTTTTTTGATTTCTTTTCTTGGGGGGGGGCTGGGCATGTCCCTCAACTCTTCTGCTCAAGGCAAGTGCTCTACTGCTTGAGCCACAGCACCAGTTCTGGCTTTTTTCTTTTTGCTTATGTGGTGCTGGGGAATTGAACCCAGGGCCTCATGCATGCAAGACAAGCGCTCTACCACTGAGCCAACTTCCCAGCCCGCTCTTTTTTTCTTTAGTGTTGAATTTCACCTGTCTAGTGCTGTGGCATGGTGAGATGATATCTGTCTGGTAGCAGTTAAGGGATGTCAGGGAGAGGTTTCAGCACTGACTTGAGCATACCTGAGCGATAGTGTGGTGTCTTCTATGTAGAATTTAGCAAAGGAATTCTGTGATTTAGAAGAAAAACTACACTAATCTTGGCATCTCCCAGCATGTTTGCTCATGTTACAGCACAGGAGCCTAGGCAGCCTCAAAGCACTGGATTGGCCTTCTGGCCAGGTTGGGTCTAACAGGAAACTGGCCTAAGAGTCTAAGATTGGGTTTATTGAGTGAAGAAGGACACAGAGGACTTGACTATGCATTGCTGAGTGACTGAGGGCCAGTTGCTCTCTTTCTTTGGGCCTGTTTTCTCACCATTAGATGAGGCTGGACCAGATGGTCTCGTGAGGGATCTTGTAACTGATTTCTTGTTTTGGATGGCTTTTCATAATCAAGCAGTAGCTTTTCTGTTCCACGCAGCGTAACTCAGGCTGCACATCTGACAAACCCAGCTTGGCCAGGCATGTTGGTCTGGGTGGGTCCCTTAATTCCTTGGCCCCAAGGGGGCATCATCCAGTTAGGATTTCTAGATCTAGCACTGGAGGTCACAGAGAAACAGCATTGGGTACAGACTGTTTTTGTTCTTGCTTTGTTTTTAAATTCCAATGATTGTTTTCAGTCATGTAGTGTTTTTGAACATTTTGGTCACGGTGTTTCTACAGAGAAGGGATGGCTGGTTGGGAAAGGTGAGTGGCTACCCAAAATTATCAACCTGGGGCTGTAATTGAAGTCTTAACACCAGGTTTCCTGGTTCCCAATCTACTGTTCTTTCACAGTACCATCAATCCCAAGTGTAGATTCATGTCTGCTTGTCTAGACAGAGAGAGAGAGAGAGAGAGAGAGAGAGAGAGTAGTCATCTTCTCTCAAAAGTAGCAAAGAATTTTCCACTCACTGCTAACTGAGCTGGACTAGAGGTGGCTGTTTAGAGTCACTATGTTGAGAATGATTCTGAAGCCACGTCTGAGCTCAACAGTTCCTGATTGGCCATGTCTATCATGACAGTGAGCCTGTAAAGGGGAGTGCGTATTCTACTTATCTGGTCCAGACTTAGAGATGTGAATATGGAATCCCTGAGGGAACAGGGGTGGAGTTTGGGATAGTCATTAGCCATACTGGTATACAAGGGTGTTTAATTTGGCTTGGGTTTGGGTTCTAAGCTAGAACTAAAATCAACCATCTGTCTGCCCAGAGAAACAGATCAGCAACCCTGTACCTTCACATGGTCTTCCATGATAAGGTAGGTTGCCTGCCTGTCTACTTGCCTGCCAAGACAAGAGAGCCAGAAGGACTACCTGTAAGCAGCACAGCCCTTAGATGTCTCTGAAATTAGGTATGAGACAGATACTTGGCAGAACGCTGAAGAAGTTTCTGGGTAGTTGCGAATGGACCTCTAATATTGCCGGTTTCAGCAAGAGGGCAGTGGAAGACCACTGGGGCACTCTTGTCTGGCTCAAGCCAGAACAGTTGCTTCACAGATAGTCTAGTAGCTCTTGGACCTGGGTGCTACAGTGGATGTTCAGTAAGTGGTTGACCTTGTGGATGCCATAGAGACCCGGTAAAGATAAATCCTAGAGCAACATAAAGGTCCTGCTTTCTTCACCAAAAGCTCATGTCCTGCTCTGAGACACTCATGGTGGGAACAATAAGGAGTGATTGACTTGCACCCTCACTTCAGTTAGGCTTTGATCCTGCCCACCTTACCTGAAGGAGGTAGAAGTCTGTCTCCAGAGACACTTCCCCCTCCCGCTAACAACTCAAAGGACAGAACTAA